GAGGAAGTAAATATTTAGAGGTCCTCTTCTTTAAATATTTTTTTAATTTGGTAAGGAAAAACAAAAAAGAGAAAACAGGTGTCCCTCCCCTGTACTTGCAGAAAAAAACCAGAAGGAAACTTCGAATCCAAATGGCCAAACAAGGCAAGAAAAACCCGCAAATAAAATTCAAATAAATAGTTCACAGTAAACCAGAATTCTTCTCCGCCACCGCGTAATTTCACATCGCCGGCAAGTCTACCTGCTCTTTGCTTTTCTTGTTCAGTTGTTCTAATTCATGATTTTAATTTTCTATGAATTTCGCGTAAATTCGTTAATTATGTGATTAATTTTCATATTTCTTGTTTCTTTTGCGCTATCTTAAGTATTATCTTGTTTGCCACCGAATTTAGGAGTTTTAGCTCATGGGCATGTGGAGTGTATACTTATTTCACCTCATGCAATGAGAAAGTTTTGTGCTTTTTGTTTTTTAAATTTTCAGATTTTTTTTTTCTTTTTCAAACAAAAAGAACATAAGGTTAAAATTTTATTTGAATGGTGATACCTTAAAATGGGCTGGTGATGATTAAATCATGTGAATCATGATTCATTGGGAATTAGTTAATTTTTGATTTTTTCTATATGGGTTTGTGAATAGGAGTTATTTATTTATTTTTTAAAATTCATACCTTTGATTGTGAGCTAATATAGAGTGAATAGATTTGGCAGATTGGATACTTGAAGAAGAGGGGTTTTTGTGCTGCACGAAATGGGTGCACCTAAGCAGAAATGGACACAGGAAGAAGAGGCAGCGCTGAAAGCAGGAGTCATCAAGCATGGGGCTGGAAAGTGGCGGACTATACTCAAAGACCCTGAGTTTAGCAGTGTCTTGTACCTGCGTTCCAATGTGGATCTCAAGGTTAGCTACTTTGCCCTGTTGAATGTATATCTGCTTTGGATAACATTTTTCTTGGCAGGATGGAATTTTTTTTTTTTTTTTTTTTTTAGCTAGCCGGATAATTCTATGTGGTGAAATAGGTCTTTTTTGTGGTTATTTAGCATGTTTTTTTATAATGTGGGTTAGGTTTATAGCTTTTTTTTGTTTGGTGCTGTGTATAGTCTTTTTACACTCTTAAATTGCAATTTTTAGCATTTTGCAGTGT